CTCTGGCAGCATGGTGCTCCAGAATGGAGGACATCTCCCTGACTGCCGATTTTTCATTAACTTTTAATGTTGAAGGAAATCCTGATTGCCAGAGCCAGCAGTGCAGAGAGTTGGGGTTTCCCTCCCCTCCATCTGTCATTACTCAGGATGGCCTTCAACCTTATTTGTTTTGTTTACTTGTTTAGCAACCCTGTGTACAACGGAACAAAACAATGCCCCATCCTGCACCATCCTCACAATTGTTGCTATGTTTGAGCCCATTGTTGCAGCCACCGTGTCAGTCCATCTCGTTGAGGGTCTTCCTCTTTTTTGCTGACCCTCTACTTTACTAAGCATGATGTCCTTCTCCAGGGACTGATCTCTCCCGATAACGTGTCCAAAGTATGTGAGATGAAGTCTTGCTATCTGCACTTCTAAGGAGCATTCTGGCTGTACTTCTTTGTTCTTTGTTTACTTAGGAGCTTCTCATTCCTTGAAGTTCAGGTCCAATATGAGGCTTCTGTTTTTCAGGCCCGACAGGTCAGCCAGCAGTATCCTTTGGGGAATTCCATGTAACGTGTTCTCTTGGTATCTCCGTCTCATTTGTTTCTCCCCGTGAGGGAAATTGGCATTTACGATCCTTTTTGCCCCCTGCCCGCTCTGTCTCTTCCAGCGAGCGCATCAGCATGCGGCAGTCCAAAGTGGACAAGCTGTACGCCGGTCTGAAGGACCTTGCGGAGGAGAGAAGAGGCAAGCTGGACGAGAGGCACAGGCTCTTCCAGCTCAACCGGGAGGTGGATGACCTGGAGCAGTGGATCGCCGAGCGGGAGGTGGTCGCAGGGTCCCATGAGCTGGGCCAGGACTACGAGCATGTCACGGCAAGTCCTGGGGGGGTGCTCGTGCAGTGAGTGTTGGGTACGGGAGGCCGTTTGCATCCCTCGCTGTTGAGCAGATAAACACCCTGGCCTCAAATCAAAGGTCATGGGTTTGAACTCAGAGGTTTTATCACCCAGTGACTTTGGCTTAGGTTGGTAACCTCCTTGCTCCCCCCCTCCAGCGGGAAAGGAGATGGAGGTGGTGCCTTACTCTGCCCAGTGAGCCAGAAGGAGCCCTGATTGATAGAGGTTTAAGAGCTGAGACCTCTTGTTCCTAGGTCAAGTCATGTGTGTTACTCATCACCCTCCGCTTAGGGGCACCTTCTTCCAAAGAGCTGTCATGTGATCAGGAAACACACTCTTCACAACAGCTTCACTGATTGCTGTACACTCACCGTTTCAGATGCTACAAGAGCGATTCCGGGAATTTGCTCGCGACACAGGGAACATTGGGCAGGAGCGCGTGGACACGGTCAACCACATGGCAGATGAACTCATCAACTCCGGGCACTCGGATGCTGCCACCATCGCCGAGTGGAAGGACGGCCTCAATGAAGCCTGGGCCGACCTCCTGGAGCTCATTGACACAAGAACCCAGATTCTCGCTGCCTCCTATGAACTGCACAAGTTCTACCATGACGCCAAGGAGATCCTTGGCCGCATACAGGACAAACACAAGAAACTCCCTGAGGAGCTTGGGCGGGATCAGAACACAGTGGAGACCTTACAGAGGATGCACACCACATTCGAGCACGACATCCAGGCCCTGGGCACTCAGGTGGGCGGGGGCACCCAGGTGGGCTGGGCACTCAGCTAGGGGTACTCAGGTGGGTGGGGGGCACTCAAGTGGGGGAGCTACTCAGCTGGGGATACTCAGGTGGGCAGAGCCTCTCAGGTGGGCGGGGCACTCGGGTGGGCAGGGTCACTTCACTGGGGGTACTCAGGTAGGGGTACTCTGGTAGGAAGGTGGGAGGGCACTCAGGTGCGCAGGGCACTCGGGGTAGGCAGGGAGGTTTCCTTTCCATGTGGGCTGTTTGTGCCTCTCTGAGCATCTTGCCATTTCTTGGTTCCTCAAAACATGCCTCGGAACTGCCCGAGTGAAACACACACATTCGCATACGTGCGCACACGTTGCTGTGGCCCAATTTGGGGGAACGGATCCGTCCATAAAGTTCTAAGTTTGCCACATTTGTGAATGTTGCTAGGTGAATGTCTTCACGATTAAGGTATTAAAGCCCACTGCTGTCGAGTCACCTTGGACTCATAGCGACCTCATAGGGTCCCCAAGGCTGTAAATCTCTGCAGAAGCAAACGGCCACATCTTTTCCCACGGAGCCGCTGGGGATTTTGAACTGCCGACTTTTCGGTTAGCAGTTAATCGCGTTAACGACTGTACCACCAGCGCTCCTTGATTAGAATGTAAACAAGCATATAAGCCAGACGCACACACAAAGGATCGCAAGTTACAGGCCTTCGCAGCAAGAGTTTATATTACGTTAGCGTATTTAGAATCATTTCCACAATAATACCTTACTGTTTTCCATCAAGCAGGTTCTGAGTTATGTATCTGCAAAGAGGGAAAACAGGTCTAATGTTTTAATGCGCCTGGCCTTTTTTCCCCAACATAAAATGGCTGACACTCAGACTTTGTTGAAAAGTTTATTATGAGCGAGTGATAAGGTGACAGTAAGAAGCTGTTGTGGAGTCACCTCCAGCTTCCTTTCTTATCTCTGCACTTCCTTGTTTAGTCTCGTGTCTTTTAGTTGAAACATCATTTTTTTTTCCCCTTCTGAATTTCATGATCCTAGATGAGGCAGTTTTACTAAAGATATCAGCCTTGGATGTATCAGGGGTTTTATTCTTGTCTTTGAAGAGCATATTGATTATGTAGTTCAGGGGTCAGCAAACATTTTCTATAAAGAGCCAGTTAGTTAATATTCCCAACTTTAGGACTCATATGGTGTCAGTTGCAACTACCCAGCTCCGTACCATAAAGCAGCCCAAAACCCCAAATCAAACCTGTTGCCGTCACATGGATTCGAACTCCATGGACAGTATATAAATGAGTGGGTGTGGGTGTGTTCCGGTAAATCTTTATTGACAAAAACAGGCAGCCCAGATTTGGCCCTAGGCTGAAGTTTGCTGGCCCCTGATGTGGTGGGTCAGCCTTACTGTTCTTCAGTGTACCCAGGGGTGTTATTCCCTGGAGGTGCCCACAGGGCGGAGGAGAGGCCCACCATGTGTTGTAAGGCCTGTTCCTAGAGCCGATGGACTCCCCAGCTCTGTGAACAGCTCCATCTGAAAGCTCGTCAGCTTCCTTTAAGTGACTTGCATCCCACGGGAGGTCTCAGAGCCCCACGCGGCAGCAGGAAGTGTAAGGATGCAGTCCCACATGCGGTGAGGAGCACGGGGCTCCAGGCACGGGCAGACCGTCTGGATCTGAGGCCTGTGGCTCTCTATCTGTGGCTGCAAATTTGATTCACCTCTCTAAGCCTTGATTCCCTAACTCTTTGAGGATTGAGACAGTGCTTGCAGAACGTAGAACGTAGGACATAGTAAGAGCTCTCCAAAGTAATAGCGAGTTTTCTGATTGCTGTTACATAATAAAAGCTCAGGGGAACTTGGAATGCCTAGCAGCGAGTTAGAAAACAGCTTCATAAGCTGCACGTCTCTCCTTCGCA